CCCCTGAAGGGTTCTGAGCAGAAGAGGCACAGCATCGGCTCACTCTGGCTGCTTTTGGAGAGTGGACTGGAGGGGGCAAGAAGAGAATTAGAGACCAGTCAGGAGGCTGCTTGGGTGTTTCTAATGAGAGATGGCTGGTGGCTGTGGTAATGGAGAAAAGTAGATGAATTTGAGACACAATTTGGAGGTCATTTTGATAAGATTTGGTGACTGGAATGTGAGGAGTGAGTGACAGGAGTATGACAAAGTTGATTCTTTGGTTTCTGGCATGAACAGCTGTGTAGATAAAAGTGTGTACAGAATCTACTTTTGAAACAATTGAGATTCCTTCTTCTCTCAGTGCAACCCCCCTCCCAATCCCCTCCTCCAAGTCATTAGAACATCCTGTCTAAATCATTGTTTTTTCTCATTAGTTTCCCTAGCTCTTGTCTATGACTACTTTAGATCACCCTTTACTGTTGCTGGATGCAGTGGTAAATTTCTATAATTACAGCAAGTTGGGAGTCTGAGCAGGAAAATTGCAAGAGTGAGGCCCTCAGCAACTTACAGAGACCCTGTCTCAATATTGGGGGGGGGGGGGAAGGGTGGAACATAGCTCAGTGATAAAACACCCCTGGTTCAATTCCCAGTACCATAAAACAAACAAAAAAATCAAACCACCCTATGCTGTATTATCTTCTCAAATACACTTTCAATCATACTACTTCCCATTCAGAACTCTCCAATGTGGGTGAAGGTGTAGCTCAGTATGTGTTGCCTAGTATGTGTGAAGCCTTGGGTTTGAGCTCCAGCACCATGAAAAAACAAACAAACAAACAAAAAACTCCAATAGTTCCTATCACTTACTTAATTAAGAACTCAATACTTTTGGTTTTCACAGCTTCATAACCTACAGTTATGGCCTTCTTTTCTTTTTTTTTTATACCAGAAATTGAACTCAGGAGCTCTGTAACCATTGAGCCACATCCCTAGCCATTTTTATTTTTTATTTTGAGAAGAGGTCTCGCTAAGTTGCTTAGGGCCTCACTAAGTTGCTGAGCCTGGCTTTGAACTTGTGATCCTCCTGCCTCAGCCTCCAGAGCTACTGGGATTACAGATGTGTACACTCAGTTCAGCCTTATTTTCTAATACTTCTTAATTCCTTTTCAGTTGAACTGAACTACTTACTGTTCCCTGAATTATCCCACACAGTCTACCCCAGCAACTCTGCTCATGTTCTCCCTTAGGTCTTACCATTTGTCTCCAGAAACTTTACTCAACTTCTAAAGTTCATTATTTACAAAATGTCCCATCTTTAAACCTCAGGATGCCTTCTTCCCCTCTTATAGCACTTCAGTTTTTGCCTTTCATTAGGGTTATTAGTGTATTTATCTCATACACATTCCCTACCCCCAACAGACTATAATGCCTTTTGAGTATAGGTACTATTACTTTCTCTGCTCCCACTGCCCTTGCCCTTGCAGGGTTAAGAATACTGCTTTGTCCACAGTAGGTATATTTGTTTGAATTTATCTGAAACGATTTATGTTAAGGAGTGTCATGTTAAGGAGTGACAAGACCCAAGTTGCTGAAGGGGAGGTTTCCCAGCAACATCTGCCAGCACCAGGGCTCAAGCAAAATTCACCTCCAGCACCAGTCTACCAAATTCCTTGAAATGAAACATAAAACAAATGTACCAACACACACCCTTTTAATAGAATCCTCTGGGTATTCAAAATGCTCCAACACAGCAGTTTGCAAAAACTTACTTTTTTCTTAAAAGTATTAAATATTAAAAACTACAAGGGAGAAGGGGGGTTCAGCTCAGTGGTGTGTACTTAGCATGTGGGAAGACCCCAGGTTCAATACCCAGCCCTGCTCTCCGCTTCCACCACTCAAATGACAGCCTCTAATTCAGAATTTTTCAAACTGCTTTCTGTAATTCATTAATGGATCATGAAATCAATTTAGTGGATCATAAATAATAATAAGAAGAAAAGAGTAAGGGCAAATATCATTTCCTAAAACTTGTTTGAAATACAAATATAGATATATATACGCATGTGTTCCGGGTCACTTTGTAAAATATATTTTCTTTGTTTTTTTTTTTTTTTTTTTGTAAAATGCATTTCTTACCATAAGTCCTAGTCAGAAAAATTTGAAAGCCAGTCTGCTCCACTTCAAGATCAGCACACAAAACTCAAGTAAGATGTTAACAGTGATGATTAAAAGTGATTTACACTTTAAATTTTTTTGTATGTGTGGTACTGGGAATTGAACCCAGGGGCTCTTCATCATTGAGATACATCTCCATCCCTTTTTAATTTTAAGACAGGGTCTCTCTAAGTTGCTAAATGCCTTATTAAATTGCTAGGGTTGGCCTTGAACTTGCAATCTGCCTGCTTCAGCGTATACAATTTAAAATGTGACTAATACAACTAACTCTCCCCTTCAGAGGTGCTTTTAACTCAAACTGATCTCTAATCAGGAGTAAGCAAATAAGAAATCATTTTGGACAACAGGCCTTCTTGCTACCTCTACCAAGATTTCTTTCAGCCCAGCACAGTGGCATCCACCTGTAATCCCAGTGATTCAGAAGCTCAAAATTTTTAAAAAATAAGAATTAAAAAAAGGGCTAGGGATGTGGCTTACTGGTAAAGTGCCCTTGGGATCAATCCTCAGTTCCAAATTAAAAAAAAAAAATTCCTCCAGGATTCCAGTTCCCTGAGAGAGCTGGGTTCAGGAACCAGGAACTCACTGCTAAAACACTAATATTTCTAGATTACATACACAGAACGGTAAAATCTTTGTAAGAGATATATATTTAAAACCAAATACACTCCTTCTTCCATGCACATGTCTATCAATTTATATTTACATGTACTTAACCTATGTCTGCAAATACAATCATACATATCTACCTAAAAGAGCTTTAACTGGGCTGGAGTATAGCTCAGTGTTAACTAGTTGCTCAGTTTATGCAAGGCCCCAGGTTCAACACCCAGAGCTGAAAACAAAACTATAACTAACATGAGGCAACATTAAGCCCAAGTTGATCTAAAATGAGAAATACAATTAATTACTAGTACTGAAAGCAATATTATATTTTAGATAAAAAGGGAAATGGTAATACGGGCAAGGGGGCTTGGGAGTATTACACCAAGGAATGATGAAAAAGAGGGGTAGCACATGGAGCTATTTCCTAATCAGCTGTATGCCCAAGACATAGCAGTACATAAAGTAATGCCCAAGAGTGCACAGACAGTATTTGATTATTCAGCACACAAACAACAAATTCCAAGTCCTAATTCCAGCCCTGCTCCATTTAACAGGTTGCCCCTTATAATTTGTCACTACCTGTGTTATGTTTCCATAATTTAATAATTTATAGTTGAGAAATCAACAGTGAGCTTCCTAAGTAATGGATGTAAACACTCTTAATTGCCAATTCCAATTCCAACAAATAACTGGGTCAGAAGCAAGGTTCAAAGAGTAGAAAGTTCAAAGCTAATGTGGTACAAAGAAGCCTTTAGATCCGGGTGCTGATAAAATTGGGTTATGCCTGGGTGACACTGAGCAAATTTTACAACCTGAGATCTCTTCTACTTCTGAAACCTTACAATTCTACAAGGGAGGGAAAAAGTGACCTTTATTTGGAAGAAAGGAAAATCATCTTGGTTCTATAGGTTAATAGGCAAATAACAATGATATTAGCTAAGGTTGTTTAAATATGAATTGATGCCTCTTCCATTATCTAGATTGGGTTAACACCCTTTGGTGATATTAAATGTCAACATCTCTACTGACTACTGGAAAAATTCCAAATTTCATTCTGGCAGTTAAGCCCTTCCACATCTGTCCAACCTTGTCTCAAACTTCTTAGGGTTCAGATCTGTAATATTCTGTTCTTGCCCCATTCCTGTTTATTTATCATCCTTTTAGCTTTCACTTCATTCTTCCTACCACTCCCTCAGCTGAAGTTCTACAATCTCCTAGCTAAAGTTTTATATAACCTTCAAAAGAACTTCCACTACTCAAATTATCTATCAGTCATCTATGATCTTGACGTTTAAATTCCTACAGGACTTTACAGTAATCCTATGCAGGTGCTGTTGTTCTCATTTCATAGATAATCAGGCCCAGAGAGGTTAAGTGGCTTGTCTGGGGTCCCATCATTTGTGATCAAGCAGCAAGACTGGGTCCAATTCTTTTGCCTTCAAAGTCCACATACTATTTCATTGTACTATGCTGCGCCCCCCCCTCTCTCTATATATATGCGCCTATAAACCAGTTATAATACAGCTTGTTGTGACATAAATTCAGACACATCACATCCTTTGAACCATACGGGTAATAAACATTTGGAACAGCATGGATAGTTTTTAAGGAGGTTGTTAGTCCTTTTTCCCAAGCTCAACATTAAAATGATATTCCAGGATAAATGACAGGTGGGTAGCAAAGGGGAGGGGCAATATGGTATAAGAAAATATTAGAAATGGGACACAAAAAAGATGAAAGTGTAATATAAGCTGGCAATGCACAAAATAGATTCAGAATATGGAAGTATGGTATATGGGGCTGAGGAGGCCTGAAGGACTAAAATACCCGAGTTAGGGAGCATATGCCTACCGACAGAAGCACGCATGTGTGGGGGCTACTAATAAAAGATTAGCAATGCACATGGCCTGAGAGTGAAACTCAAGAGAGCAACATAATAAAAACAGTTCGTGGGGGCATAGCAGAGCATGGCTTGAGGAGGTGGGGGCACAGAATAAGGGGCCAGAGGGCAGAGCAGGGGTCGAAAAGAAAGGTGAATAGGTTCAAAGGGCACAGTGCCCCCAGATTCGAGACCTGACTTCTGTCTTCCCCTCAGTAAATGGTTGGTGTGTTTTAGGATTCACACCCGCACCAAACAGAGCCCTCCTGGGTGGCTTCAGGAAAAGAGGGAGGTCCTGTCCCCATTCCTTCACAATTCCCCGGGGACTCCGCGAGGGGGCGGAGGGAGGCAGGAGGGTCCTTACCCAGGAAGATGGAGATGATGAGCCGCAGCGCCTGTTCCGACGCGCCCAGGGACGTCGCCAACTTGTTAAGGCTCAGCTCCTCAAAACCTGACCATAGACCCCAAATCGGCTCCACCACCTTTCCCACGTCCCCCTCCACTGCGGACGCCATCTTAACTGCGGGCGCCCACCAGGGACCCCCCCAGTTCCGCGCGCCCCGAATGTGTGCAAAAATACTGTAGCTTCACCCCCAATTCCGGCCGGGGGCCCGCCCACGGCGTGCGCATTGGCTGCGGGCCCGCCCAGAGTCACCAGGCCCACCCGATTATTGGTTGAAACGAGCAGAGGGCGGGGCCTAGCGAACAAGGTAGGAAGAAGGCGGGTCTGAACGCTTGTAAGGCAAAGGTGACTCCTTCCGAGAGTGAAAACCGGGCAGACCCTGGACGGGCGGGACCTGGAGTCGGGACTCTGGGCTGCTATTGGAAAAGTCTAAAACGCGCGGCATGGTGACTGTTCAACTCAGTCCTAAGTGCTCGGGGGAGGAGTCGGCGCGGGCCAGTGTCCGGCCGGCTCGTTCGCTGCCTTCCCATTGGCTGAGATAGAAGCGGGCGGGGGGGGGGGGGGGGGGGGGGGGGCGTCACCCGACCGCGAGGTTACTCTCGGTCGCCGGCGCGCTGGGGTTACTGGGGCATATAACGGAGAGGCGGGAATTCCTGATGCAGCTTCGCGAGCGCCTCCTAACGGTACCTCCCGGGCCCTTCTTCAATTCCGGAACTGTTAGGCATTTCGCCCTGTCGTCCCAGAGGTCTGGGGAGAGCCACTGGGCTCAGGATCAGGCCCAGGATCACTCCTGCCTTTTTTTTTTTTTTTTTTTTAATATTTAAAAAATGTATCCCACGGACCTCTCTCCCATTCAGTTTCCTTTTTGGAAGTTCTAGGAATCGAACCCAGAGTATCCCCCATGCTAAGCAAACACTCTACCACTGAGCTACATCCCCACCCCACATAGTTTCCTATAGTAAAACATGACCTTCTCCCTTTTCCGAAAGGCGATGAAATTAAGATATGCCTGTTTAACACTTACTACTTTAATTAACAATTCAACTAGTTTTCTCACTTTTCAAGCAATGCATGTTCGTGATAAAAGATCAAACAGAATAGAAACATGAAACAAAATATAAGTCCTCTCTTCCCACGCTGCTTCCTATTCTCATTTCCTACGTGTAACCCTATCTCCTCTCCACCATGTATTGAGTGCTTTAGTGTGTGCCCAGGACTGGGCCGGATTTGGAAATATAATAACGACTACAAAGCCATGGAGTGCACAAATAGTGGCATTAGTGAATGTGTGACTATACTTGAAGGCAAGCACTCTGGAGGAAAGTGTCAAGGTTCTATGAGAGTCTGTAACAATGGAACACTAAGAGTTTCTTGTTAACAAGGACTTTGTAAAGCATTCTTCTGCGATGACGGTTTCTCCTTCTCCTTCTCCTTCTTCTTCATGGACCTTTATTTTATTTGCTTATTTATATGTGGTGCTAGAAATCGAACTCAGTGCCTCACACATATGAGGCAAGCGCTCAACTGCCGAGCTACAACTCCAGCCCCTGACGGTTTATACTTCTGTAGCATTTTGTACTTTATAAAACACAACAGGATATTTATTATTATGTTATCTTTTTGCAGACACAGAGGCTTGGAGAAATTAAGGAACTTGTTAAGTTCCTTTCCAGCAGACGGCAGAGATAGAATTGAAACCTAGTACTGTCAAATTCTCCCCTACTCCTTTTTTGGGGGCTCTGTGTGTGTGTGTGTGTTTAAATTTATAGTATTGGAGATTGAACCATTGAACCCAGGGCCTCACACAAGCACTCTACTACTGCGCTCCACTGCCAGCCCCCAACTTTTAAAAAATATGCAACATTTCACTTACACAGAAAAGTAAACAATACTGTAGATCATATTATAACCTACCTAGATTAAAAAACAAACATCACATACACCGTTGAAGAACCTGTCTTATCTTTTTACAATGGCACTTCCTTTCTCAGAACCAATGGAATGGATACACACACACACACACACACACACACACACACCCTCTTATGTCCTCCTTATGAATATTGCTGCAGTGATATTATTTTTTTCTTTTTTTCGTACTAGGGATTGGACCCAGGGGTGTTTTACCACTGAGCTACATCCTTAGTCCTTTTATTTTTATTTTGAGGCAGGATCTCACTGGGTTCTTGAGGGTCTCACCTCAAGCTTGCAATCCTTCTACTTCAGCTTCCTGAGTAGCCAGTGTGTGCTAGGACATCTAGCTCATGGATATTTTCCTTTAAGCAGGGGAGTGTTTCCTCTAAGAAC